GTGCACTGTTGAGATATAATACACGCACCCTACGTTATTGGTACGAGTGCGCGCAATTCACGATATATTTCATAAAAGAAATAAAAAACTAGTTCCTCAAGCATTGATGAATTATATAAGCACTTGGGAATTTTTAAGAACACTTGACGAGTACTCCGCACTTCTCTCTTCTCTTAACCATTCATTCTCTCTATGATTAATCTGTTGCATCCTCTGGAAGACCATCCCCCATAAAATTTTAATAGACTCACAAACTCCTCCACCCTCCCACCCTTATCATCTCCTACTCGAAAAAGCTTTCGACAGCACTTTAGACCACGCTACCAGACAAATACAGCAAGGAGGGAACCCCATCACTTTACACGCAAATACGCACTTTTCGTTTTCGTGTAAACAAACGCTAATGAAGCTTGAATTCAAGTTGGTTTCACCATATTTTTAAATTCATCCCCTTTTTATTAATCTTTTCATTAGGATGTGTCAGGAAAATATAATATGTTGCAACACCATTGACTATCTTTAACGCCGTGGTCTTCGCGTGATTTCATCACAATCATTGTTGTGGAACTATTCTTTCGAAAAACAGCTGCCTTCGTTTGTATCTTAAAAAATCGATCGCAGTTGTGGTTGCAAGCTACGAAGCAAGTATTATGGAAAGTTTAAGTAGAAGTACGTTTTTGGTTCGGTGCACGATATTCCCTCCACCATCTTTCTTCCTTTGACACGTTCTGAACGCTTCGCCTCATTTAAGGTAAGTACAACGTGCTTTACATCACGAAAAATCCTTTCACGTCCGTGATAGATACTACGCAGAAAAGAAAAGCATCTTCGAAGCAGTGGAAGAGATATAATGAGGCTTTTAAGTTTGAACTGATGTATCTCAGTTCTAGAACAAAAGTAAACACACGATGTAAATGAAATCCCGTAGCAGGCTATCTGTTATGATATAATAAACAAAATATTTTTCATATTTTGACCGCCGAATTAAATTACAGTCTACTAATCTTAGTTGGATGCACAGGACATGTGGCACTCGCAAAATATTTCACTTTTCCATCACTCAGTCTTTCGAAGAGCATCGATTGGCTTTTAGTTAGAAGATATGAGGCTTGAAACCTCTTAGAAAAAATACTGAGGAATTTCAAAACGTTTTCAGCTGTGGAGAGCAACACGAAAATTCTATCTTTTCTCGCTTTCTTGGGTCAATATGGAAAGGTACACTTGTCTTCCATAGTATACCGTTGACGCTGAATCTGCGTAACAATAAAAATTAAGATTCCTTTCTTCAAACGACATTGTTTTGTAACTTGCTGTTTTCTTGTGCAATACAGAAAAGCGCAAGCTCGTGTCATCGATAAGAGAAGACGCCCGTCAGCGTAAAGGGATTTATTGCAAATAAATTAATACTGCTGTGTGCTTCACAAGCAAATAATAATTCTTACAATAATCAAAGTATATGAAATGAATGCTTCACTCAACATGTGTCAAGAATGCCTGGGTGCAGGTTTGGGTTAGACTCAAATGGACTTCACTTGACAGACTTCGAAAAGGAATGTGAGAAAATTGAGCAGCAAGTTCTGTATGTAATTGCAATGAATTATACCGAAGATGTAAAAAAGGTGAAAAAGAAGCAGAGTCAATTCAGTCAGGGCGTCATTAACTTGGATCCACAACTTTAGAACTAAAGACTTTACGGCAGAACTATGCGAAAGAAGAATGGGAAACAATGACTTGAATCATCGGATACTTTTATTTTCAGCCTCTTTTCACTGCGAACCTTTGAAAGTTGCTCAGTATGAACAGAACAAAAATTTATCCTTGTCTTGTCCGGCGCAGTTTTCGAGAATTTCCTTGCAAATTTTTAGGTCATACGGTATCTCCTTTTTGGTGTTCTCGTTCTTTTGTTGTTTGGAAACGTGTCGCTTACCACGACAAATCTTGCGACCAAAACAGATATTCCGTAGAACAGGCAAACCAGGCTCGTTCAGCAAAGTTTGAAAAAACTGGAATTGTGATGTCCTTTTGCAATATTGTCAGTCGTGTTACATATGAAAAATACGCCAATCTAAGGTAATGTTTAAAAATAGAGATTATAACATAGAGCGCGTGCTTGGCCTATATAAGTCTTATTGAGCCCTTATGAACAAAATCTTTATTTACGCACGCTCGTGCGTAAATAAGATGACGTGAGCACTTTTTTTATCTGGCTTCAGAGTTTCCGTCCTGTTAAGCTGCAGGGCAGTTTTCCTTCCCTTTTAAATATGGAAGAAACCAGCAAAGAACTGCCCAATATTTTTTATCGGCATTGACCTTTTAAAAGAAAAAAACTTGCAAGTTGCACGTTTCGCAAATTTGTCAGAAGACCAGCTGCAGCAACTTTTGGGCGAAAGACATTCACTGGGAACAAAAAAGTCACCAATTGGTCATTAACAACATTTATTTCTGTATTTATTGTTGCCAATAGGGACGTTTGTCTGCTTTTTTTTTTGCGTTGTGAGAATTTTGCACTTTATCACAATAAAAGGCTTCTTCTTGCGATGCTTGTTGTCGCTCTGTTATAAAAGAATTTGCTCATGCTTTTAGCTGTGCGTATATCGAGTTATGGATGCACTTGGGAAGTTTGGAGAGCACTCAAAAAGCTAGAGTTGCTCTCGGCTGCGCCTCAAGCTACTCTTACGCATTTTTCGTACTCCCCAAACTTCCCGCGTGCATCCATGACTCAATATACGCACGCTAAGCATGAACAAATTCTTTATTATTTGATAGACCATTTTCGATGAATGAAAATTTTAACTTAGATATACGATATGTTTCTAATACTTCCATGCGATCTAAATAACAAAAAGGTACATAATCGTGGCACCCATAGACATGACACCGGATGCACCTACTAAAACTATGTATTGACTAATCACATTAGGAATAATGGATTACATATCAAATACGCTTAACGACTGAGCCTGTCGAAAATATATTTTGTGTTCATCTCAAAAGTTTAAAATTGATAAGGAAGTCCAGTATGTATTGACGTCACACACTTCCGCTGTGAAAGATATAGTAACAAATTGTCTGATCTACTAGACTAGTTTTACAAACACGCTGACTTAGATTATTCTTTCATCATAAAAATGCAGAAGAAACATTCCACAACATTCACAAATATATCTTGATGCCTTTACAAAAATGAATGAATTTGTAAAAGAAAAATAAAGCATCGGCGCGCTTAGGAAGTCTCTGCTTTCAAACTACAATGGCTATATCGTGTAAGATTTCCCTCATGATATTTACATTTCAGAAGACACTAGAAAAACAATAACAAAAACTCATGAAATTGGCTATCAGAGTTGAACAAGAGATTATAAACTGTCTCTAATCTGTTACGTTTTATTTAAATTGTTCCTACCACGTTTTAGATTTTTAATTCTGCTTCATTCTAGTTTTCCTATAATTTGCCTTTCCAAAACTTTATTAATTATTTTTTTTTATTTGTTGTTGTTTTTTTTAGGTAAAAATAGCTTTTGTGGTGACAATATCGGTTTGGGGAATGGGTTGTTTTATGCCCTTTTTTATGGTAAGTATACATGAGCAAATACTGGCAGCTATTTATGAAAATACTTCAGTGACAATGACGTGCAATATTTTTCAGTGTGCTAGTGCCTCCAAACCCGTATCATTATATACCGAAACCAGGAATATATTTATGTGAATCTCCCAAACGCATCGCTATGAGTTTGACGGCCAAACGGGCGACACAGGAACAAACAGATTTGAGCTCAAGATTTACGATTTTTTTGGAAACAAACGAACAGAAAACATGAACGAACAACAGTTAAAATACGAAGAAAATGACATACTACATAAGCCGAGAATAAATGCAAATAATATACGGCGGGGAGGGAAAAGACATGATTTCCAACATTAAAAATGCGAAACGCTGTATTGAATAAAATGTGAATCTAATAAAAAAGCAATTTAAACCTAAACAGGAAATTGCGTGACAGAACTAACACAACAGGAAATTGTGTGGCAAAATCAGATTGGTGAAGATTGTATGAGATGAAAAACAACGAGGTCAAGTTAGATATGGTCTGCTTCGCAGCCGTTTATTGGTTTGGTCACGGAAACTTTTTTGCCCCACGAATCGCAGAGACCATTGCAAGAAACAATTACGAAATAAGGTAGCAAAAAAATTGTAAATTTGACCGATAAAAGGGCAAAATGACAAACAGACACGTTAACATGCTGAGTCAGGCTTAAAGTTTCAAAATGAAGGAATAGTCCTAAATAAGAAAAAAAAGCTAAATACGGCTCGTTCAGCTATATACAACTAGACTAATAGAAATGAATGCCAAAAACTAAAAGAGAACGATGCAATAGCGAAGTGACTTAAATTTGGATAAAAAGTACAGAAATTAATAAGTAATTATAGAGCTAGACAAGAACAGACAAGTACTGGCTTGGCAAGTTGTAATACTTTCGCTCAGCAAACCAGCTAAATCAACTAAATGACAAGCAAAACGTAGCCAATTTATAGGACATTTAAGGAAATGATAAAAAGAATTCTAGCCAAAGAAGGGAAAGGCGTCAATAACTGCTTATGTACGACAACAGGATTTACCTAAGGGAAATCAGCCGGTGTAAATACTGTACTTCCTACATGACAGGATTTTGGTACTAGAGGTATACTCGGGAACAGTACAACTATACAAAACAAAGAAAGTGTTGAGGGAAAGTTAGGAGTTTAGCAAGATATCTAGATTCCTTTGCCACAAAAACAAAAGCAAGTAAAAAGTAGTAAAGAACAAAGCGAAAAAACAAGAGAACAATACAAATTCGTGACTGAGTCACATTTGTACTTGACCAAAAAAGGGTTGAACGGAAACGATCCTCAGCTTTGCCGGCGTCATCCAGATAAAGGCGACGATGAAAAAAAAAAAAAAAACTAGAGAAATGGTTTAAATAAAAGGATCTAAGTTACGCAGGAAAAATTAATTCGTTTTCGAAGGAGCAGCGAAGATGCAGATCACCGAGCGTTTCACTATGTTTTTCGTCGTGGCTGTGGGTAAGTTCTTCTTTCACCACCTGAAATGAAATCATTACGTTTTTAAAATCAACTTCGTTAACTTGGTCAAAGATTTTTTTTTGATAATCAGCTATAAAATACCCACTGGAGGCGATTTATTTTAATCTAGTTTCGGAAGTTTTGCCTTATTATTTTATTTTCAACTTCTGCTACGCGTTGTTTGAAGAAAGGATGTTGCGATCTTTAGCTGTTACGCAGATACAGTGATGTCAACTGTATTGAGCAGAAGGGGGTGATGCCTTTGAATATTGACCCCAGAAAGAGAGAACGAAGTCAATTTTCATGCTGTTCTCTATTGCTAAGAAAGTTCCAAATTCTTTAATATAATTCGAAGAGATTTCAAATTGTATAATTTCTTAATATAAGTAAATCGGTGCTCTGTTGAACTACCCAACTGATGGCAAAGTGAGATACTTTAGGTTTGAGGTTGCCACACGTCCTGTAGCAGTATATACTGTTACTGACGCGTAGAAAATTGTACTGTAACGGATCTCGAAAGAAGAAAAAAGTTCATTCATGCAATCAATGTGGAAAGCTTGTTTGAGGGATTTAATTGGAATAGCATTTTCACTCTTAAAATGAGATACATGAAGTGAACTTTTGTCTCTACCCTGTGTCTTTCGTTGTTACGAAGATGCTTTTCTTCTCTGCATGATAAGAGCACATTGTCTCAATGTCTTAGCCAATATATCGTATCCTAACAATTTTCTCGATAAAAACATATCTTGAGAAATGGAATTTCTTCCCAGAGGCGGTGAAGCGTTTTGTAACTTGACGGAAGAAAGGAGAAAGACGGTGGAGGTCCTATCATACAACCAGCGAAATGCGTTCTTCTATTCAAACCTCGCGAGATAATTGCTGCGCAGCTTTTTGGCGCACGTAAAACTTTAAACCTTAACATATTCGAATTTCCAGATAGTCACAATAGTAACAACGACCCTGATGAAACAAACTCGCGAGAAGATCACAACAGGATGCTAATAAAGCGATCAGTGAAAAGAACATGACTCTAAATTTTTGATTAAACCAAGTTGCATTAGCCTTTCTTTCTTTTCCGAAAGTAAAACGTGCGTAATTGTGTGAATGGGAGAAGGCTTCCTTCTTCTTTTGGTTGGGGGGTGGGGGGAATCCCCCGCCCTGGCCTTTAAAAGGTTTGCGTGATAAATAATCTAAGTTATATTTTCAATATACCCTTTTTTTCGTGAAAATCACATGTAGTGTATGATTAACTGATTTATTGATTCCATTTATCGTTTCTTTAGCGTTTCTCGTTGGAAAACACGCAGCCCTCCCAAACATTGGTAAATGTTCTTTCATGGAATCCGCTTGCGCTTCTCGCAAATGCACCACATCTTTCTACAAAGGACTTCAAAAGGACCCCAAAGGAGACTGCCTGTAAGTTAATTTAATTAGCTCTAAACTTTGAGGTGTTTTGTGCAGCGACTGCGATTCAAACGCAATACTTTATCTGTCAAGTGACCTGGTCTGGGGGGCTTCCGAAGGCTTTGTGAGTGGGAGCTGAGGGGGGAAGGGGGGAGGGGAGGGTGAGTCATATATTTACCTGAAAGTTGTGGCAACAGTCGTTCAGACAAAAGGATGTTATTAGAAAAAGCCAAACAGAAACAGCCAATCAGAAAGCGGGAAAACACGAGTGACCCAGTTGCAATAGGCAACAGCATACCAGAAGAGTTTACAAGCATCGGCTGCGAATGAGATTAAGAGCGAATCGAACTAAACTAAACTCATAAACGGATTACCTTAGACCCTTACTTAAAAAATTGCTCTAACTTCATGAGTTTCTTGTTTTCATTCCAGTGTTAAATTTGACCAAGTAAAAGAGTGTATGCAGAAATTGGGCAAGTACTGTTTGGACACTCAGCCAGGCAGGAGCATGAAGATAAAAAGAGAATGTGCTGATGATCTCACTCTAAGACCGTTTACATCTTTGGAAATTTTCAATTGTTCCAGCTCAGTCACCACTAAAGCGAAAGTCTGCATGGAAACCTTTCGACGCATATTTTCCGCGGACAAATCGAATTCCTCTCTTTGCTCGTGAGTTTATGCAAACCATTTCTATTGCAAACAGAAATCGAAAAAGATAATTAATTTGTGGCATGGCTGCGGAACAAGAAACAAATTAGACTCTTGTTACAAGCGTAAGGTGAAAAAAATCAATGATTACCGTCTTGAATGTAAACCTTAGATGTTTTGATTTCCGAGCTGCAGAGAAGATACGCACTTATTGGACCATATATCAACTACTAGGTTAATATTTAACAAGGCAACGTATAGGTATAAATAAAATTAAATTCAGGACCAAGAATTACTTTTTTCGAAGACTGTTACATTGTTCAGGAGAATAATTAAGACATTCTTGTCATTTGTTTCTGAAAAATTGGCGTGCTTGAAAGCAAAAAAGGTTTAACTTTATCTATCTATCGTTCAGACATTATAAAGTTTTGCAAAAAACTGATAACAATCTCAGATTGTGATTTGTCTTTTTTTCCTCTCAAACCTTCTTCAAATTGAAAAAGGTTTGAAGGAAAAAAGAGAAAGATACGATCGCTTTTGTTTTTGTTCGAGTATAACAAAAACAAACAAAATATTATATTTGATAATCATTGCCGGTACGAAAACAAAATGAAAATTATAAGAACCAAGCAAACTTTGGCAATTGGTCGAGAATGACTGAATGGTTAAAAGAGTGGCGTTCACAGAGAGGAGCAAATCAACATGCAGCCTCGGAAAATTTCCGACACTCGTTAAATATTGTCCAATAGGGCAAAAAAAAAAAATGACGAAAATAAAGAGACTAATAAACTTTTGATGACCTTCATTGTTTACAGGGAACACGCTAAGTCGAAGAGGTGTCTTAAGGATCTGATATATACTGAGTGTAGCTTATCTCCTGAAACGCTGGAATTGACAGAATTGGCTTTGGCTGACCACAATCCTTTCTGCGCTGATAATCGGGACCCTGGGGCGACCGGAAATGACCAGTGCTACGGGGTGAAAGACATCAGTGGACCCGCCGGCATTGACGCATTCCTTAACACCGATAAACCCATTACCACCAATGCAGCTGCTGGCATCAAAACCAGTGTTTTCCAGGCGTTTTTGTCTGTTTTCCCGACCATTTGGTTCTTTTTCAGCTTTTAAAGAGATTACTTACGCAATCTTTGTTTTTAAACGTACGTTTTTAGGCAAATTTTAAAAGAATTTGAGCTGCTAGCTTATCAAAAGTCTGAAATGTTTCCTTATTGTTTGCCTTTTATTTCATTAACAAGCACTTTCTAATTAAAAAGATCATTTCCTAAATCGATAGTAATGAAAATTTGTATAAAATAATATTAAAAAGGGAACTTTTTTGCAGCAAACCAATAAAATATATTTGTTTCAGAAATGATCGTGTCAGATCGTGAAACTTATCGTTTCCGTAACTGGCCTTAATCGCCTTTTACAATGTTTACATGATAATTACATGATTTAGGGCGTTACATTTCCAATAATTTACTTTGCTTTCATGAAACTGACTTGTATCGAACGGTTGACTTTGCTGAGCTCAACCAATTGAAATAATGCGTGTTGAAGGTGGTCAGTCGAGTTGTTCTGTCGCTCTTTGAAATAATCGTAGCACTTTATAATACCTGTCATATTTGCAATACCTGTCCCAAAATCGTCGCAACTTTGTGATAAAAAAGCTGTCGCACTTTGTAAGTGTGAGCTGTTACTCTTTGTCATAAAAGAGTAACAGTGATCATGTGAGCTGAGTCCTGGAGGTGAACTATGCCAAACATGGTCCACCTGATCGCCTTCAAAGCGACCGGGGATCGAAATTTGAAGGAAAGGTGAGATTTCTTTGCAAAAAAATGGAAGATAAAATTAATTAAGTTAAGGCCTTACCACCCGCAGCCTCGGGGAAACGTAGAGAGATCACATAAACGACTCAGAAAAAAGATAATGTACGACCCAGTAACACTAGGAAGGAAAGGAATTAATTGGGCGGCAAATTTTGATAACTACAACTGGATTTTAAACGACGAAAGCAAGGAAGAGCGTGGACGGAGAACTCCTTTCGAGATCTACTACGGGCGAAAAACTGGTGAAAGCGTCACTGGTTTAGACTCAGAAGGTGATGAGATTAAAACGACAACTGGTCGCGTAAAGGAGGCACGTTAAGAACATACGGCGAAAAGTTAATCTTTACAGCGCAAAACTTAACGATTGAATGGTAAGACGCCACAAGCGGCTTCACAAGGCTGAAATATTTAAACCCAAAGACAAAGTTCTTATCCGCCAATGACCGCGGAGAGGATGTAATCTCCCACAAAACGAGAGTTTTTTAGTGAAGGCACCGCCGTTAAAAGAAGCAAAAAAAGATACATATAAGTTAGAAAGAACAAACAGAAGGATAGGTTTCCGTGAAGAATATGGTGAGTGTTGGACGTCGACTGCACTGATTATAAAACGATGAGTTTGTTTATTCGGTTTCTTTCCGCTTAGTCACAGTAATTTGGTTCAGGTCCCAAGCGGCACCTTTTACTAATCCCCACTGAGTCCTCTGGGGTCCAACTTTATCACCATGCCCCAGATGTCGATACGGTACCCTCGATTCACGCCAATGTTGTTGACATTTCCTTCGCTAAAGAAGTTTAGATACTTGGGATGGTAAAAACCGAACCGATAAGTACCTTCTTGTTCAGTTTATTTTTCAAAATGCGATTCAGTACTTTTTGAATTCTTCTCGCCCCTGGTATCCAGTTTGAGAAGTTCAGCAAAATGCATTACGTTTTTATAAATGTTGTTATGTTCCTATCAATCGTGCAACGTGTCAATCACCTATGATCTGGCATTTTGACGTTTATCGACCAATGCGTTTTAGTTAAGTTCTAGTTATCAGGGTAAATTTGAGCCAAGAGACAGTAAAAAAATTAGTTTGAGTTAAAGAGGAGTTTGAGTTCGAAGTAGCTGATAGTAAATTACCGGAAAATTAGGGTGAAATGCAAGGGAAATCGGACCTTATTCGAGTTACTGGCGGGTCGAGTTCACAGGTTTCAAGTTAGCGGAGTCCTACTGAATAAGCAAAGACATTTTTGACGCTTAAAAATTAGATATTTTTTCATTGTTTAACGTACCAGTTGTTTTCCTTTAAAATTCTTGTAATGTTTTAATTTTTCTTGGGATGATTGCGGATTCTGAGGGAAATATGAACAGATTTTTGGCGTTGAACACTTATTCGATGTTTATAATAAAAACTTTGAAAACAAAGAATTGTTTTATTGCCTTCATTGTAGTACTTAATAGGTATTCATAAATATTTCTCTGTGCTGTGCCGGGAGTCAGGGATTTGACCCACAGATGAGCAATTTTTAAATGTTTATTGAGTCCTTGAGAGGTATCCCTGCAATGGGAACGTTCAATAGACGCAGCGCACTCTGTCATTACAAACGACGACAACAGAAGTAGGATATGTATACATATATCAAAAAGTGTCTATTTAGCTTAATGTAACTGCTTCATCCCTCAGCCATAGCTTGTTTGGCAGCCTCGTAGACGTCTCCATCTACCGACTTTGAACATCATCTCCCACTGACTCTTGGATTTCCCCCTCTCCTAACCCTTGGATGGCCTCCTCGTCCGATTTATTAACAGAGTCCTCGTCCTAGCTTAACTCTTCACTGCTTTTTCCGTTTGTACCGGATACTATTAGCTGCATGTTACGGGAAAGTTTGTATTGAAATTGATTCGTTTCTGGCGGCAACAGCAGAGGGTAGAGATGAAGACGCTTGACCAATTTCCCAGTTAACTCAGCTTTGATGGTTGCGATGCTGGTAAGACTATTGTTATTTTTGATTGCATCAAACACCACTACAGCAAGCTCTTTTGAGGTGAGCTTTGCAAAAAGCTGTTGTTAACGCTTCTCCTTTGATTTTGCTGCCTTTTTTTCTGCGCAATTGCCAATCTTTCCTAATGCGAGATGGAAACTTCCTTTCCAGTTCTATTAGGGTTGTTGTCAGCTTATAGCTTCATGAAAATATTTCAGTTCGTCAATTGCAAAGGGTTTTGGAGTAAGTCTTTTCTGTAAAGAATTTTTTGTTCGCTGTCGATGAATGATAACAAATCTGCCACGAATTTCAAGGTGTCATCTTCAGTGGCCAAGCAGGACTCACACTTGACAAAGTCATCGTTGCTCTTGCAACCCTCCACGCCTGCCGCCTAATTTTGTAATTTTTTGACCTTCTGAGATTCTATTCTGATCAATAGCACTGTTGTAAAACTTCAGCTTATCTGTTTGTGGTTTAAGAAGTATATAGTAACAATGGCTTTTTTAAGTGGTTGAAAAGAAGGAGGGGAGGAAATCTTCCACTGACAATATGGGGAAATTAAAGAGAAAGAAGATACTTAAAGGTAGTGATCGCATAAATACATAAATGCTCCGTTGTCGCAAAAAGAATCCTCCGCATCCTCCCTCCAAACCCCCCTCCCCCCTCCCCCCACACGTGATTCCCCTGCAGGTAGAAATTTTAGGCTAAGCTTTTTTTTTAGGGGGGAGGAGAAGGGGGGGAGAAGTGGGAGGGGTTAGAAAAAAAAAGCTAGTACCAAAGGGCTAGTAAGTTTCACATAGCTATTCTAGAGAAGTGTTTGCTGGGTTCAGGGAGGGGGAGAGGGTGGGTGGCGCGTAGGTGAGTTATAATACCAAACTCATAACATAATAAACATAACAGACATAACAAACTAAATAGTTGGGAAAGGAACAAATGAACATGAGAACTAACTATAGTGTATGCAATACAGCAATTTTAATGCTAGCAGCTGTATTAAAGCCAGCAGTTGCCTTAATGACAGCGGTTGTCTTAATGCCAGTGGTTGCATATATGCCAGTTGTTGCCTCAATGCCAGCCGTTGCGTGAATGGCAGCGGATGCCTCAATCCCGGCGGATCCACTGATGTCTTCCACACCATAGCACCGATCCTTTCTGGTCGTCCCAGGGTCCCGATTGTTTGCGCAGAAAGGATTATAGTCAGCGAAGCCCAAGTCCAACACTCCCCGATTAGCAGAGGAAATGTTGCAGTCAGAATCAATCAGATTCTTCAGACACTTCTTCTGCTTGGCTTCCTCCCTGAAATAATGAAAGTTCACAAAATCATCCACCAATGCCTGTTTCCCTCACTCTGCAATTTTGGATCTGAGACTACATCTACTTCGGTTTACAAAGCCGAGCCAACTCTGATAGGTAAAATTCGCGTCGCCCTCTGAACGCGAATTGGTCATCGGCGTTTTCCAACGCATGCGTTTTAGACAGTGTACTGGATCTATATAAAGTACCATCTTAGTTTGTCCGTAAATTATATTACTATTAACAATGATCATAACAGCTTTAAATTAAAAGAAAAATCGAGGATTTGTGAATGTTAACGATACATAAGGACTTTTTTGTAACACACCCAGATGAAAGAAAGAACTGGAAATAGTGTTTCGATTCTTGTCTAACCAAAATTTTCTACATTTCTACGTCTGTTCCCAAATCAAATATCATTTCTCATTTTTTTTTTGTTTTTGTTTTGGAAGGGAACATTCTCGGGACAAGGGTGTGAAGGTTTCTTTGTTCCACGACTTCGCCCTAATCAATCATCTCCGTTACTTTATCAATGTTTAGCAAACAAATACAAATACATTCTGAGGAAACCCACGGACCTACGAAATCTGTTTGTTTTAAATCACAAAGAAGCATAGTTGATAACGTTGACGTCATATTTGCGCTTACATCACAAGTAAATGAATCAGAATGCTTATATGATTCAGCCTATAGTGTGAAAACAAATAGTCTACACAAACTCACGCGCAAAGAGAAGAATTTGATTTGTCTGCGACGAATATTTGCCGGTAGGTCCTCCCACAGGCGTTTGCTTTAGTGACGAAAGAGCTGGAACAAAGCAATAATGCCGCCGACGAAGACGATATTAGAGGCGGGCCTTCTAAACATACTCTGCTGTCAAAACTCTGGTCTACAATTCTTGTGATGCTGCTTTCTGTCCGTGAGTCAGCACAATACTTCACCACCTTCACCACACAGTCTTTCATTTGGTTGAACTTAGTACTGAAATAAAAATAACAGAGCCACGGAGTTAAAGCTGTATTTAAGTGTGAGTCCATTGTAATCAATGAATACCGTAGGTACAGTTGGATGAGTCGTCGTTCAAAACACCTCAAAGTTTAGAGCTCATTTAGTGAACTTAAAAACAGTCTCCTCTGGGGTCCTTTTGTAGTCTTTTATAGAAATATGTGGTGCATTTTCGAAGAGCGCAAAAGTACTCCATGGAAGTACATCGGCCAATGTAAGGGAGTGCCTCGTGGCTTCCAAAGAGAAACGCTGCAAGAGCAATTATTTACAGAAATCAATAAATCAGTGAGCCGTTCGCGAGGTTCCCATACCGTTCAGAAAGCCATTTCCTATGAATGTAAAGTAGGTAATTAGTAAGGAATGTAAAGCTCTAGATTGCTCGACAAATATATTTCATGAATCTGTCCCCCTCCATCCCCCCGCCCCATTCGCGCCCAAACAAAGAAGTCTTACTTTCGGACCGGAAACTAACGCTCCTTCAGCATAAAATTTCTCAGGCCCAATAAGCTGTCTCGCGTTCTTTTTACTAACAGTTCCTTTGTCATCTTGTAAGACTTTTCACAAAGCAACTATTTTCGTACACATGCATTAACAAAAATCCGTCATGAACACAATGAACAATTTTGAGATTGCATTGAAGTTAAGAATCCAAATTAGGATGTTTGAGAAGAACAACGTGTTTGGCTTGGGTTGCGATGAACTGGCCAGCCTCCCTCTCCTCTTCCCTCCTCCCTCTTTGTCCAAAACGCTTCGTCGCCTCTGAGAAGTAATTTTACTTGTTAACATGCCGAGCCAGGCGGCGGATGTTATTAACCAAGCAAGTAGTTCAAGTACAGAATATTTGCCAATGAGCCGTAACGACGTGGACTAAATCCCGCGGGTCGTTTTATGTTACAGTTAGGGTCAAATTAGCAAGATATGTTTGTAACAGTGAATCGAAGTGAAAGTTACTTGATGAAGTTGAAAACACAATTTGTACGTGTATTAAAGCACGAAAAAGGAATGACCCGATTTTGCACCGGGTGAGTAATACTGTGCAAAACAGTATATTGTGCAATACAGGATATTGTAATCTACATCACGTTCATCGCTTTCAGGTCCGTGATTTGTATAAGAAACGAAAGGCATCTTCGGAACAGAAAAAGACACAAAGAAGTTTCTGTTTGCGACTTGTTTATATCAGCATTCGAACAAAACTGAAGATACAATGCAAATGTAACTCCTTAATCCTCAATGATAATGAAATAATCTCTTGCTGAATACATTTTTACCCGGGCTTTCCAAAGGAAACGCTCGAGTTGAAATTCCGGCTTCTTTTTTTTTTTTTTTGTTCACTTGCAAATCGCAGTCAAGTTCCAAAACACGCATGAGCGACGTTCTGACGCATGCTTGACGTTTTGACTGATCAGCACATGGCATGGTGTAATGGCTGAAGAAGAGAGGTTTATACGTGCAAAATCAGCACAGATACTGTGTATAATACGCTCAAAACGCATACAAATTATGCACAAAGCGTTCGCGGTAGACTCACGCTAAAAGATGTTGAGCGTTTTCGGAACGGGTCAGTCAGCGACCCTTATTGGCTTAGGTCTTTTAATTCAAACAGTTTTCTTTAGCAAACCAAACAACTACGTTTCGATTTCGGAGCGTAAAGGAGCGCGAGAGATTTAGCCTCCCACTCTTTTCAATAATCGTTTCATCGGGATTACGTCAGGTCAAACCAGATGATGCAAGACTAATTCTGTATTTAGCGTCATGATCTTTTCGCCAATCGTTTCATCAAGATCATTGATAAGGAACTAATTTTTTTGTAAAACAACTGTCTTCTTATGTTTGAGTCGAAGAACGTGTTTGTCTTGATGTACGGTAAAAATCCTACTTTTTTCCTCCTTTCCTTCGTCGCGCTCCGAAACGCTTTCGCTGCTTCTGAGACGCAAGACCACAATGATATATGTTATTTATTAAGCATATGGTTAAGGTACACGTTATTGGCCAACGTACTCTACTTCGTGCGGATTGATCACTTTCATGTCCGTGATTCATAGTGATATTAGCCCAAGAATATCAGAAACGAAATCTATGTTCTTCAAGACATTTCTTTTGTTCAGTCAAACTTATAGAATTTATCTTAATGTTTATTTCCCTTCCGCCTCGATTGGCTTCGCTATTTTACGGGAGGGATATGCATTTTAATTGCAAAAAGTAAATAAATGTTGTCGATTTTTACTGTATTCGTAATGTATTATTGTATAGAAAGCAATATTACAATGCGGCCAACTCCTTACTCTCGTCACTCGATTCTGAAATGTCCGTAACTTAGGATCCATAGATGTAGTGACGAAACAATGCGAAAATATCCAAAGCTACAAGATGGAAAAATAAAAAAAGGACAACGAAACCATCGGAAACGAGATTAAACGCCAATGTAATGATTAATATTTGCAACCGTGTGCATTTCGTGCACTGTCATACCTTGCGAACACCCACGTTTTTCATGTTCTACAAACCCTTTGATGAATACTTGAAGGTAGAGCAGTAAAAGATGAACTTACCTACGGCCACGACGAGAATCAAAGTAAGACGCATAGAGATCTGCATCTTCGCTACTCCTTTACAAATGAATTGTCGAGAGTAACCAATTGCAAAGGTCCTATCATAATTATTAAAACCGCTTGCTTTATCGATTTTTCCGCCTTTTTCTGGGTGACGTCATATGAAGGGTTACACGAGCATGGCTGGCCCGTGTGGCCGGGCACCAACTATAATACACAGTCGCGTGATTTTTTACAATATATTTACAAGATGTTTAAAGACCTGATTATTAATCTACCCTGTCTGATGAGTTTAAAACCTTTTCCCGTCGCAATTTCGCGAGGTTCCCATACCGCTGTCAGAGCCACTGATATCCACCCTGATATTGGAAATATTTAATTATAGAATTAACGTTGAATGTAAATGCGTTCTCGCAATTCTGTTCCCGAATCATTTCATTTTTGGATAATTATCTTTCAAAGTGCGACATGGGTATACTGTGAAAAAAGACCCAGACATGAAAGATGAGATGAGAAGATGACAGAAGAGAGTCAGACGACACAGGTTACACGTAAGACTGTCAATACTCACGGATAGTTTAATTTTACCATGGTGACTGCATTTTGAGAGGTCACATAGAGCGAGTTACTGTAATGATGTAGTTAGTTTGTGAGTCACATGACTTGACCCCCTCTTTTTTTATTTTTAAACTTCTTCTGTTTGAACAACACCGTTGGCCGTTTACTACATTTTTGGCGACGGGGATTAACTCTAGATTCGTAACGGAATGGCAACCTACAGAAAGATAGGTGAATTCAAAGAATCGAAGGAGTCTTGGATCCAATTTATCGAGCGTCTAGAACAATATTTCCGAGCGAACGACGTCGAAGATGTAGGGCAAAAGCGAGCGATTCAACTCAGCGTTTGCGGCAGCAAAAAGTATTCTCTAACAAAAGATTTACTTCAGCCAGCGAGACCCGCGGATGCAACTTTCAATAAGATTGTCGAAACTTAAGAAAAGCACTATTTACCCAGACCAAGTGAGATATTGGAGCTTTTTAAATTCCACAGCTGTAATAGCAAAGAAGACGAATGTGTGGTGACGCATGTGGCAGCAGCGATTGCTGAACGAGTTGTATTTGACTCTCAAGAAGGCCGAAGAGATTGCCCTAGCGATGGATTTAGCTCCAAAGCAAGAGGTGGGTATTCAGTCAATGGAAACGACCCCCAGCAAAGTGCAATCAAATCAACTCAGCGTCAAAGTATGGAGGCAATGAAGCTTCAAATGCCGAATGCTATCGTTATGGCGAGAAACATGAAGCGTCAAGCGGAAAATGAGCCCATTTAGCTGAGATGTGTCGTAGTGCGAGCTCGGGCAAGACAATCAAAGGAACCACCGAATCCAGAAAAAGGGTAAACAAGCAATCTCAAGGTGGCAAGCCCAGAGAGGAGAAAAAGGAACAGCCGACACAATTAATCGAGAAAATTTCCGATGATGTTTACGTTGCGACAACGTACCACTTTCGTGGGGTAAACAAACTGAAGCCATATGTAAGCCAGAAAGTATAAAGAAACGACCTACGTGAAAGTCCTAGCCACCCACACAGCCGTTTTTACTGGATCGTGTTTCGCTTCTTCCCACAAACGCGTTTAACCTGATGAGTCGTATGACTGACAGAAGTGGAGAGTGCTCACTCCGTTATGCATTTATTACAAATATCCACTTTGCACGGTGTTAATTTATGCAAGACATTTTGGCAATGCAGCCAAAGAAGCCTTAAAGAGGACAACCCAGTGGGTGGCGTATTATTTTAGAAATCCAAAGTCTTAGTACCTTGTACCCGAACGTGCCATGATCCTGTCGGCCATAACGGCATTCAAATGTTATCACCTGTACCGATAGCACCACAGAACATACAGGAGATGAGGGACTGCGGGTAAACATTCGATGAAGCAGTGCGTCCGATTGCAATAGCTGGAACTCTCCCGTCGTACCTTGATCAGAAAGAAATTCATCCGAGTGAACCACTCGGCTTGAACTCTGACCACGAGGAGCAACGAAAAAAAAAGACCAAGAGGAAAATCAGATATTAGAGTACGATTCCCCAAGCAGAGATGAAGAATCGGACGAGTCACTTCCGGACTGGACGAGACTGCATGTGATGACGGTGACATTCCTTCTTTGGAACGATAAGCTCATTTTCTCCGCGGAAGATTTTCCCCGCTTTGGAAGATGTATTCGCTTCAATAACAGAATTGTGTTCAATTAGTTTTTCAGTATTTTCCTTGTTATAGAACCAAAGACTTCAAACAGTTGGGTTTCTGGTTAATTTTCTTAATTCGAAATATTATTACGCACATGGCTCAGCGTAAAATCTATTACGACCATTGCGAAAACAAATTAGTTCAATCGGTTTGCTGAAAATGTAATGTTTTTAAGACTTACTTTAATGTTCATAATTTTTTATTTCTAAACTGCTTTTAAAAAAATTGGTCGCTCAAGCAGTCAAGAGATAAAAGCCAAGGAATTATTCTAGATTCAAGGTAAGCTAACACTTTATTCAAAATGCCTCGCCGATACAAAAACTTATCAAACTTGTCTAATAATGTTAACAAACTGGAATAAAATGATGAAGAGGGAAACCTCTTTAAAAAACGAAAAAGGAACAAATGGACATGAAAACTAACAAAAGCGCCTGCATTACACCAGGTTTAATGCTAGCGGCTGTATTAATGCCAGCGGTTGGATTAATGCCAGCGTGTCCATTGATGTCTTCCACGCCATAGCACTGATCATTTCCGGTCGCCCCAGGGTCCCTATTGTTTGCGCAGAAAGGATTGTAGTCAGCAAAGCCCAAGTCCAACACTTCCTGGTCAGCAGAGGAAAAGGTGCAGTCAGAATCTACCAAATTCTTCACACACTTTTTCCGCTCGGCTTCTTCCCTGAATAATGACAGTTAACAAAATCATTTTAAGTATACCTGTTTTCGACGCTGTGGAATTTCAATCTGTTTCGATTTACAAAGCCGAGCCAACTCTGATCTGTAAGACTCGCGTCACCCTCTGAACGCGACTAGATCAGTGACGTTTACCTACGCACGCATGCGTTGAGACAGTTTACTGGGTCTACGCAAAGTACCTTCTTAACTTGTCCACAATTTTTTCGGATTTTAAATACATTTTTTTCTTACAGAGCTTTAAAAGAAATATGTGGCTTTAAATATCAGTCAAAGTTAACGCTACATAAAGTTAAGGCTTTTTTAACACACCCGGATAATAGAAAGAACTGAATATAATGTTTCGATTCTTTTCTTAACAAAAATTTCTACAGTTTTACGCGTGTTCCCAAATTTAATGTTATTTCTCAATTTTTTTCAAAGGGGAACATTCTCGAGACGAAAGTGTGAAATTTTCTATTTTCCACAACCGCGTCCTAATCAATCATCTCCGTTAATTTATCGATGTTTAACAATCAAGCGCAAATACATTCTAAGGAAACCCACAGCATAACGAAATCTGTTTGTTTTAAATCACAAAGAAGCATGGTTGATAATGTTGACGTCATCTATGCGTTTCCATCATTAGTAACAACCACTCAAAATGCGTGTATGATTCAGCTTATTGTATAAAAACAAGTAATCAACACAAACTCACGCGCAAAGAGAGGAATTCGATTTGTCCACGACAAATATTTGCCGGAAGGTTCTCCCACAGGCGTTCGCTTTAGTGACGAAAGAGCTGGAACAAGGCAATGATGCCGCTGATGAAGACTGTATTAGAGCGGGGCCTTCAGAGCATTCTGTGCTGCGAAAATTCTGGTCTACAATTCTTCTGATGGTACTGTGTGTCAGTGAGTCAGCACAATACTTCACCACCTTCACCACACAGTCTTTCATTTGGTTGAACTTAGTACTGGAATAATAACAAGATCGCCAATGAGTTAAAGCTATTTTTGAATTAGAGTCCATTGTAATCCATGAACAGAACATGCGACCTGACAGATACCGCAGTACTGCGTTAGAGTGGAATAAGTCGCCGTTCAAAACGCCTCAAAATTTAGAGCTCATTAAGTGAACTTACAAACAGTCTCCTCTGGGGTCCTTTTGCAGTCCTTTATAGAAAAACGTGGTGCATTTTCGAGCAGCGCAAAAGTACTCCATGAAAGTACATCGGCCAACGTTAGGGAGTGCCTCATGGCTTCCAACGAGAAACGCTGTAAAAGCAATAATTGACGGAAATCAATAAATAAGTGAGCAGTTTTTTTATGATAGGAATTTTTATGAATGTAAAGTAAGTAATTAGGAAGGAATGTAACACTCTAAGTTGTTATCACACAAATATTTTTAATTAGCCAGAGGCATTAAAGGGTAAAGGGGTTGGGGGACTCATCGGGGAGTAGTAATTTTTGAAGTAATTCCCCGACAAAAAAAGTTTATGGCACTGTCCCCCCATTGAGCAAGCATGTAGACGTGGTAAAGGAGATTGCGTCTGCAGAACATTGTATTCTACAGGATACGTGTTTGGCTTGATGTACGGTAAAAATCCTGCGTATTTCCACTTTCCTTCGTCGCGCTCCAAAACGCTTTTGCTACTTCTGAGACGCAATACCACTTAATGATATATTTTACTGATCACGCAAATGGTTAAGGTACAGGATATTAGCCAACAGACTCTATCTCATGCGGTTTGATAACTTTCATGTCCGTGATATAAGCCCAGGAATATCAGAAACGAAATTTATGCCATCCTCTCTAAGACATTTCTTTGTTCAGTCAAAGTTGAATTTATCTTAATGTTTATTTCCCTTCCGCCTCGATTTGCTCCGCAAAAAAAATAGTTGTTGTTGATTTCGTTGAGTATTCGTGGTATATTACTGAATAGAAAGTAATCTTACAATGAAGCCAACGCCTCATTTTCCTCGCTCGAATATAACTATTATCAAAGTATCTGGAACAAATGCTTCTCTCTCCTTATGTCGCTGATCAGAAAGTACGCTAAGGTGCAGTTCTTGCCCTAACTTAAAAGAGTTCAAATAGTTTGGCGAGAAAATCGAGCAGCAAGTTGTTGAAAATGTTACCGATAGCGACAAAAATGCATCGAACGCACAGTGATAAACGTAGGTGAATAAAAAACCAGGCTCAATTCAGTCAGGATGCAATTGTGTTGGTCCGTAACTTAGAATCCATAGACGAAACGACGAAACAGTGTGGAAACATGCAAAGCTACTAGAGGGAAGAAGAAAAATAGCAAAAAGAAACCATTTGAAACGAGACTAAACAAAATCAACTCCACGCGAGGAATGAAATGATTAATTTTTGCAACCGTGTGCATTTCGAGTAGTCATACCTTGCAAACACCTAAGTTTTTCGTGTTCTATAAACCCTTTGATGAATACCTGAAGGTAGAGCAGTCAAAGATGAACTTACCCACGGCCCCGACGAGAATTAAAGTGAAACGCACAGAGATCTGCATCTTCGCTGCTCCTTTGCAAATGAATTGTCGAGAGTAACCAACGTCTTATTATAATTAGTAAAACCACTTGCTTTACCGATTTTTCCACTTTGTTCTAGGTGACGTCATATGAAGGATTACATGAGCATGGCTGGCGCGGTTGGCTGAGCTCCAACTATGATACACAGTCACGTCATTTTTAACAAGATATTTACAAGATATTTAGAGACCTGATTATCAGACAGGGTAGATTTTTCAACCCTTTTCTACTCTTTTCTACCCTTTTCACGTTGCAATTTCGGAAAGTTTGAATACCGCTGTCGGAGCCACTCATATCGACACTGATATTGGAAATGTTTAAGGGGTGGGGGAGCTCATCATCGAGGGAGTAGAGATTTTTGCTCCGACAAAAATGTTTATGGATCTGTCCATCGGTCACGAAACACAATGAACAATTGTGAAATTGTGTTGAAGTTTAGTGTTTGTGCCGAGAAATATACGGAATCCAAATTGGGATATTTAAGAAAAAGTGCGTGTTTGACTTGGGTTGCGATAAACTACCCCCCCCGTTTTCCTTTCCCTTCCTTTCCTTTTCTTTGTCCAAAACGCTTCGCCGCCTTTGGAAAGTAATTTTACTTGTTAACATGACGAGGCAGGCGGCGGATGTTGCTGACTAAGCAAGTAGTTCTAGACACCATATTTGCCAATGAGCTGTAACGACGTGAACTATATCACGCGCACCGTTTTATTTTAACGTTAGTGTCAAATTAGCAAGGTATGTTTTTAATAACAGTGAGTCGAAGTGAAAGATACGTGATAAAGCTGAAAGCACAATTTGTACGTGTATCAAAGCGGGTAAAGGGAATAGCACGATTTTGCGCTGGCTAAGTAATGTTACTTCTTAAAACTTCCACTTGTCAAGTGGAGGTCTCAGCAAGTAATATTACTCTCTATCCGTCATTGAGCAAGCATGCGGACATGATACAGGATATTTGCGTCTACACTATATTGGGCTCTACAGGATATTGTCAGTCTACATCACGTGGGTCGCTTTCAAGTCCGTGATATTTATGGGAAACGAAAGGCATCTTCGGAAAAGAAAAAGACAGAAAAAGAAATTTCAATAGCAATTTTTTTTATCATAGCATTAAAAAAACCTGAACATGCAATGCAAATTGAACTCCTCAAACAGACTGTCATTGATCATGAAATAATCTCTTACTGAATATATTTTTACTCTGACTTTCCAAAGAAAACCCCGGCTTCATTTATTTTTAAATTTTTTTTTTTCGTTCAGTTGTAAATCGCAGTCAAGTCCGTAACGCGCATGAGCGACGTTCTGACGCATACTTGACGTTTTGACCGATGAGCACATGGCATGGCGTAATGGCGGAGAACAGAAGTTTCTGCGTGCAAAATCAGCACAGATACTATGTGTAATACGCTCAAAACGCATTTAAAATATGCAAACAGCGTTCGCGGTAGACCCACGCTAAAAAGATGTCGAGCGTTTTCGGAACAGGTCGGTCCGCAAACCTTCTGAGAGACCTCTTTATGAGCGAACATATTTAATGAACCTTCATCGATAAACACGCTATATCAAATGAGCTATCTTTTGTTAATCGAGAGAAGCATAAACGCAAATCTCATCGTATATGTAGACGTGATCGTGAACCAAGCAGAATACCAATACGAAGTTTGAAAATTTTAAGGAACAGGAGCAGAAAGGTTGGAGAATTTGTCTATGCACGGATTCTTTCATGTATAATCATGTCATCTACATTGTTATGTAAATGCTAAAAAAACTATTTAGTAAAACGACGTTTAAGTTTAACCGTCGTGAGAGAATTTGTCAAAGTATAAGAAAGATAAAATATCGTGCCAGTCGATATGTAACATTGTTTTCTTATAACAAACAGATGTGTTCTTGCAAGAGTGAGGCTCGTGTAGCAAATTATTGCAATTATAAATTAAGTCACATACAAAATCCTGGTCCTCTAATATGTGTTGACCCTATCAAAATAATAACAGCTTCATAAAGTTAGGGTAATAAGTTTCTGGGTAGAATGCAGGACAGCAATGTGTACTTGCAATGAGTTTGCGCTCTTTGACTTACAATAACAAACAGGGGATCAGCTCTGCAAATGATCTTACAACTTTAAAATAAATTCTTATTAATGTTCTTATTGGACGACAATTTCTAACATTATACCCTAGAAATATTATCACTGTAATCAGTAGATGTATAGCCATATAAAAAAAATATTAAATTTATTATAATCTTACAGTTTGTCTTTTTCCTCACTGCATATATACAGAATGAAAGCACTAGGATAATTTTCATATGCAAGTGAAAATTTGCACTTACTGTAATTAGAAGACTCTGGATTTTTTGTTCATTATCAACTGCATGCTAAAAACTAAGTAGTCTTTTTTCAGTCAAGGGCAAATGAAAATAGTGGTTTTTATCGAAGTGATTTCAATAAGCTTTAGGGTACTACTGATGAATTATATAAAAGTTATTAGAAGCCAAATACTTTTTCACCTTTTGTTTCTTTGCATGTTTTAGGGTGATTTTCATTCGCCCATGAAATAAAAAAAAATTACTATTGGTAGTTGATAAAGAACGAAAGAAAACAAAAGATACACAGTACACCACTAACTATAAGTTACCCTATTCTTTCACGGAAAATGAAAATCACTCTAAACACCAACAGTTAATTAGTACCCACTAGGTTTAATGAAATCACTCTAACTAATAAACCAAATTGTATTAACTGAAGTATACCAGCCCTGTAACTCCAAATGGGAACAAAAAAATTGGAAGGTAATAGTACAAAAGATGCTAAAGTATATTTCACAGGTTCATGAGAACAATTCTAACGACCCTAAAAAAAATTAATAGTTCATCTGCTAATAATATTTGGTAGTGACTTTTTGTTTTCTTTAGGTGATAAGAAAAATAATCAACTGGGTTTTTAGAGTGGAATAAGTGTCATCACTCTAGCACTTGGGGCTGTTTACAATTAAAAGCTACTTCAGCCTGGAATCTTTTGTTAACCAAGAAAATGAAAACACAAGAAGACAGTATTTTTGGCAAATGACTCACCCTGTTACAACCCCTTAACCCACAAAAAAAAATTTAATTAAGTCAAAAAAGAAAAAAATGGATATAGTGTCTGGTGATAAGTCTTGAGATAATAGCCAATAATATATGGCACCACATCCCCGTACCCCACCCCAGAAAAGGATCTTCACACTTCATAAAATGCTTTTTTAAGCTCTCTGTATACATATGTGAAAAACCTGCATCTCTGGCGTACCAGGACAGGGAACAGTTAATGGATAAACCGATACTTGCATGAAAAATTAAGCAAAATACAGACACAAAAGACGCAAAGTTCACAATCAACAGAAAGCCTGAGCCTGAACACATTTTTGCGTTTAGTTTTTTTGTATTTTTTTATTTTTTATGATCCTAGTAATGCACAGGAAACGTGGCAAAGACGAACATAAATATTTCATTTTTCCATCTCCTCAGTCCTTCAACAGTGCACCGAGTGTGTTACGAAGAGCGAGCTTGTCAACTTTTGAAGTTTTCGATGTCGCAAGGGGTCAAAACAGGGCCTTTTGAAACTTTGATTATTGAGAGCTTTCAAAAAATAATATATTTTAACGTATTTCCAAAAATCAATGTGGTTTTATTCATATACTATCAAAGATAGTTTAATGGGTAAAGTTTGAGGTAAAACTTTTCTCCGACTAAAAGTCAATACCAAATCTTATTAGCAGACGATCTAGCAGGCTTTTTAGGGGTGTTAAAATGGTTCTCATAAACCTGTGAAATATACTTTAGTATCTTTTGTACTATTACCCTCCCATTTGTTGGTTTCCATTTGGAGTTACAGTGCTAGTACACTTTAGTTAATACAATTTGTTTAGTTATTTATGTGTATCTTTTGTTTTCTTTTGTTCCTTATCAACTGCTACAAACTAAATAGTAATCTTTTTTATTTCCTGGGCAAATGAGATTTACCCTAAAACATGAAAATTATCCTAGCGCTTTCATTACATATATAAGACGTGAGGTGTAAGATCATTTTCACAGCTGATCCCCTGAGTGTTACTGTAAATCAAAGAGCACAAACTCAATGCACCTACACATTGCTGTCCTGCATTCTGTCCAAAATCTAACTCGTAACCCCGTAACTCGCAACTTATTCACATGCGCACAGCGCAGTGAATGAGTTGTTGTGGAGGGCCGGATTTGTGGACAATTAATTGCGTAGACGGAAATCAAATTGGAATTAAATTTGCGTAGGCGGAAATCAAATTCCGTCTAGCTCGCAATGTATGCTGGATCCACGTTCTTTCATGGCAGCCATTTCTTCGAGGAGTTCTGCTTCCAGCTGTTTTGCCGTCCTTTTGGGTGAGTAACAATTACTTTATTGTGCTTTAGTAACCTGAGCTCTAAAGCATACATCGCACACATCAATCATAGTGGCCTGCAGGCACACTTAAACCTTTATAGAGCTCCCAATTCGATCAGACTTGACGGTCGCTGCGTTCAATTGCTATACAGACCGCTATTAGACTGCAAAACAACACCGCATCAAAATACGAAATAGAACCTTCTTCGTGAATGGGTATCAGTCACATTGTTTCATTTATCGACAAAGTTACGAAGTTCATTGAATCCAATTTGTACTTCATTGCTGGTAAGCTTCGCTCGTTCATTTGTCAATCACAGGGACATGCGAAGTCGAATGAATCTCGACACGAGACACAAGCGGATGAATTGATGACAAACTCTGAAGATACTGATAATTTTGGTGACCAGACGAATGAGCAAACAGTGCAGGTGAATAACATATCCAGGAAATTAAGATTCCAAACTCTCCTTTTAGTAAAACAAATCTCATTTGAGATTTTCATGGAGGACAAAAAAAAATAAGTCAGTGATGATAAACTAGTAAATATCCTTTTTCATTCTCACTGTCGCTGTTGCTAAAATGTAATAACGCCATTAAGGCAAAGAAGTTTGCGGCTTTTCTGATCCTCACAGGACTTTTTTATTCCTCGGAATGTTATTGTCGTTGATAGCAAGTTATTGTTGCTATCGTTAATCACAAGTTATTCTTGCGGTCAAAGAGGACAAAGAAATTAAGACAATGAAGGTAAAGAACTAAATATAATTTGTCATCCTCAGTGTTGCTTTTGCTATAATTTAATGATGCCACTTAAGGCAAAGAAATATGTGGGTTTTCTGATCCTCAAAACTCTTCTATATTCCTCAAAACGTTGTTGTTGATCACAACTTGTTCTTGTTGTTGATCGTAAGTTGTTCTAGCGATCAAAGAGGCCAAAAACTATGTAAATGAAGATATAGAACTAAATATACTTTGTCATCCTCACTGTTCCTGTTAAAATAGTTAAGTAATGCCACTAAGGCAAAGATGTATGCAGGTTTTCTAACCCTTACATGACTTTTCTAAGAATATTATTGTTGTTGATTATAAAGATAAAAAACTAAATATACTTTGTCATCCTCACGGTTACTGTTGCGATGATTTAATAATGCCACTTCCCGGGGGGTACTTCCTTATATAAGCAATGTGGGTGTGCTTCCCCAAACAATAAGGATTTTGAGCCGTTTTGGTCTAAAAATGGGTAGGGATTTTAGACATTTTAGCCTGAAATTGGGAATTTTTCGCCTGCTTGTCTGAAATAGGGCATAGATTTTTGCCATTTTTAAAAGTCTGGTCTGAAATTGGGTAAGGGAAATCGCATATTTTGGTCTAAAATAGGTAAGTGTTGTTTGTTTAGTTGTTCTTGTGATCAAAGAGGACAAAAACATTTCGTAAATGAAGGTAAAGAAGTAAATATACTTTGTCAATAATGCCACTTAAGGCAAAGAAGGTATGTGGGTTTTCTGATCCTCACAACACCTCTCTATTCCTCAGAATGTTGTTGTTGTTCATCGCAAATTGTTCTTGCTGTTGTTGTTCAACCATAAGGAAAGTTATGGGAGGGACTGGACATAAAATGAAGGATTTTTAGAGTGTGCACTGTCGCAAGCACCAATGTATAGTCCACATCTTTTATGTATCACTGGCCCACTTACTTTGTTCTACTGCCCCGTCCACTTTTGTTAAGAAACTAACCAGAAGTTGCAAAAGTTTGTGGAACTGCAAGGAAAGCAAACAAATTGTAGTATGGTTCACTTCTACTCACTTTCAGTGAAATGCACCACTCCAAAGCCCCAAAAAGCTAGTTCCCTGTGCGCATTACCGAATCCTTCCAATCAACAATTAACCACTCCTACCCATTTTCAGCGCACAATTATGAAGATCCACGCACACAGCACACTTATATGAAGCTCATAGCAATGCATTACACTGCAAACATTCATAAATTTCAATAAAAGTAGGCAAAAATGAAAAAAAACCATGAAGTGCAATTACGCATAAAAACTCAATCTCATCCCTCAAATAATATCAATGAGTCTTTGATTCTGTTCCGAAGATGCCTTTCATTTCTCATCATACGTGATGTAGAGCGCTATATCCTGTATTGCACAATATCCTGTAGACGCAAATATCCTCAGTGTACCACGTCTGCAAGCTTTTTCAATGACGGATAAAGAGCAGTATTACTTCCTAAGATCTCCACTTTACAAGTGGAGGTCTTATGAATTAATATTACTCACCCAGCGCAAAATCGGGTTATTTCCTTTACGTGCTTTATTACACGTATAAATTGTGCTTTCCGCATCATCACGTATCTTTCACTTTGATTCACTGTTACAAACATACCTTGCTAATTTGACCCTAACTGTAACATAAAACGACCCGCGGAATTTAGTTCACGTCGTTACGGCTCATTGGCAAAAAATCTGTACTAGAACTACTTGCTTGGTTAATAACATCCGCCGCCTGGCTCGTCTTGTTAAAGAGTAAAATTACTTCTCAGAGGCGGTGAAGTGTTTTGGACCAAGCAGAAGGAAGGAATAGAGGAGGGAGCTGGGCAACTCATCGCAACCCAAGCCAAACACGTTGTTCTTCTTAAACATCCTAATTTGGATTCTGTATATTTCTCGGCACGAGCACTAAACTTGAATGCAATCTCAAAATTGTTCATTCTGTTCGAGACCGATTTTTGACAATGCATGTGTATGAAAATAGTGAAAAAGTCTTACAAGATGACAAAGGACCGTCATGCTTTCGACGGAAAACCTCTTGTCAACACTTCGTTAACCGCGCAAAAGATGGTTCCGAACAGAAGAAGACGACGTTTTCGATGCGTTGTGCGAACGGCAAACACAGGAAATAATTACGTTTCCCTCCATTTACACTCATTAATCTACCAGAAAAATGGTGTTTTCAGCCGCTAACTCCGGTGAATACATTGTTGTACACTGGGAAGATGCCAATGAACAAAAGGAAAACAAGCTGTTTTCAGTATGTTAACCTAGCGATTAATGCCGGAAAATGATTTGTTTACCTGCATTTATAATTACCGCGAAGGAAAACTACCGTACAATAGAACGAATACTGGGATTCACCGATGCGAAAACGCATAGAAAATGTCGGATTTTCCGTTCATAAAACATGGATAAATGTTTGTAAAATGCCGCGTTTTCCGTGAATTCAATCTTCATATCCGCACGGTGAACGCTACTTTTTTTTGCGGTGGACGCAAGGCAGGATATTTGGCCCGAGAAATTTTATGCCGAGCGAGCGTTAGTTTCCGGTCCGAAAGTGTGACTTCTGTGTTTGGGCGCGAATGGGGAGGGGGGAGGAAGGAGAGGGGGAGGAAACCGATCAATACACTTTGTCGAGGGTTTACTTCAAAGATCACCGTTCCCTCTATGACGACTCCCCTACCCCCACCTCCTTAGTTCCTTAGCGCTTCAGGCTTTTAAAATATTTGTGTGATAACAATCTAGAGCGTTGCATTCCTAGCTAATTGCTTACTTTACATTCATAAAAAATTACTCTCATAGTAAATGGCTCACTGATTGACTGATTTCCATAAATCATTGCTTTTTACAGCGTTTCTCGGTGGAGGCCATGAGGTACTCCCTAACGTTGGCCGATGTACTTCCATGGACTGCGTTTGCACTCTTCGAAAATGCACCACATTTTTCTATAAGGGACTGCAGAACAACCGCAGAGGAGTCAGTTTGTAAGTTCACTTACTGAACTCTAAACTTTGAGGTGTTTTGCACGAAGACTCATCCAACTGTAACGCAATACTGCGGTGTCTGTCAGGTCGCCTGTTTTGTTCATAGATTACAATGGACTCACACTTAAATATAGCTCTAACTCCGTGGTTATCTTGTTTTTATTCCAGTGCTAAGTTCAACCAAATGAAAGACTGTGTGGTGAAGGTGGTGAAGTGTTGTGCTGACTCACTGACAGAAAGTAGCATCAGAAGAATTGTAGACCAGAGTTTTGACAGCAGTGTATGTTTAGAAGGCCCGCCTCTAATACCGTCTTCGTCGGCGGCATTATTGCCTTGTTCCAGCTCTTTTGTCACTAAAGCAAACGCTGTGGGAGGACCCTTCGGCAAATATTCGTCGCAGACAAATCGAATTCCTCTCTTTGCGGGTGAGTTTGTGTAGACTATTTATTTTCATACAATAAGCTGAGTCATACAAGCATTCTGATTAATTTACTTATAATGTAAGCCCATAGATAACCTCAACGTTATCAACTATGCCTCTTAGTGATTAAAAAAAAAGTTTATTTAAATTGAAAAAAAAATGGAAAAGTAAAAGGAAAAATAAAATTCTCCTTGGTTGAGTATACAACAACAACAAAAACAACAATGTTGTGGTTACTGTTAATAGTAATAGAAATAATGGACAAGTTAAGAAGGTACTTTATGTAGACTCAGTAAACTGTCCAAAACGCATGCGCAGGAAAACGCCCATGATCAAGCCGTGTTAAGAGGGTGACGCGAGTTTTACCGATCAGAGTTGGCTCGGCTTTGTAAACCGAAACAGATCATATCAGTGTAGTCTCAGATCCAAAATTGCACAGCGAGGGAAACAGGCATACGTAGAATAATTTTGTTCTTCTAGTCTGTGGACATTTTTAGTCAAGTTCGATAAGTTTTTGTATCAGCGAAGTTTTTGTATCGTTGGTTTAAAACATTTCCTTTTAGTAGTTGGTTTTCATTTCTTGACTTCTTGAGCGACCACTTTTTTATAAAAGCATTTCAGAAATTAAAAATATTTGAAATTAAAATGTCTAAAAAAAACATTCTTTTTCAACAAACCGACCAAACCAATTTGTTTTGACAATGGTCGTATTATACTTTACGCTGAGCCATGTGCACTGATGATATTTCTAATAAAGGAAATTAAGTAGAAACCAAAGTATTTTGTTCGTTATGTTATGAGTTTGTTATCATAACTCACCTATGCCCCACCCCCCCCCCCCCCCTTCCCGAACCCAGCAAATACTTCTGTACTTCTGTACTTCGAACTCCTCTTTAACTCAAACTAGTTTTTGTACTCTCCCTTGGCTCAAATTTACCCTGATAACTCAAACTTAACTAAAACGCATTGGTTGATAAACATGAAAAGGCTAGAACATAGGTGATTGACACGTTGCAACCTTCGTCTACCGCGATTGATACGAACATGACATTATTTATGAAAACGTAATGCATTTGGCTGAACTTTCCAAACTGAATACAAGGGGCGAGAAGAATCCAAAAAGTCCTAAATCGCATTTTGAAAAATAAACAGAACAGGAAGCTATTTACCAGTTCAGTTTTTACCATCCCAAGTATCTAAATTTCTTCAGCGAAGAGAATGTTAATAACATGGGCGTGAATCGAGGATACCGTATTGACATTGGGGACATGGTGATAAAGTTGTACCCAAAGGACTGGGCATTAGTAAAAGGAGCCGCTTAGGACCTGAAAAAAATGGCTGTGACTAAGCGGAAAGAAACCGAAGAAACAAGCTCTTCATTTTTTAATCAGTGCAGCATGTACGACCCTGTTGTCAACGTCCAACGCTCACCATGTTCTCCGCGGAAACCTATCCTTCTGTTTGTTCCCTTTGATTTGACAGCGCAAATCTAACTTGTATGTATCTTTTTTTTTTTTGCTTCTTTTAACAACCATGCCTTTCACTACAAAACTCTTGTTTTGTGGGAGGTTACCTCCTTTCCGTGGTCATTGGCGGATAAGAACTTTGTCACTGGGTTTAAATCTTTCAGCCTTGTGAAGCCGCTTGTTGCATCTTACCATTCGATCGTTAAGTTTTGCGCAGTAAAGATTAACTTTTCGCCGTATGTTCTAAACGCGCCTCCTCTAAGCGACCAGTTCTCGTTTATGCTGGTAACCTCATCTCCATTTGAATCTAAACATACTAGTGACGCTTTCACCAGTACATTGGATCTTTGCCCGTAGTAGATCTCGAAAGAGTTTTCCATCCACGCTCTTCCTTGCTTTCGTCGTTTAAAATCCAGTCGTAGTTATCAATATTTGCGACCCAATTAATTTCTTTCCTTCCTAGTGTTACTAGGTCGTGCATCATCTTTTTTCTGGGTCGTCGATGCGATCTCTCTACTTTTCTCCGAGACTACGGGTGGTAAGGCCTTGACTTAATTAATTTTATCTTCCAATTTTTTGTAAAGGAGTCTCACCTTTCCCTCAAATTTCGATCCCCGGTCGCTTTGAATGCGATCAGGTGGACCATGTTTGACATAGTTCACCTTCAGGACACGGCTCACATGACTACTTTCTTTCTTATTTTTCTAATGTGTGCAATCACGAATCACGGCTGAAAACATCCGTAACACTCAAAGCATATCTGCATTTCGCCCTTTGTGTTGAACGGCATCCCTACTCAGGTCCGTTAGACCAATTTTGATGCTGAGCTAGTACAGATTTTACAGTGACTGGTCTCGGAGTAGTTTTACTGGTAAACTTATGTACTCGATACTTCACTTTGCCGTCTATTTCTCGCAAAATGTTACTTTCACTCAGACCTACATAACCAGCAGCTCGATTTCACAATTTTTTGCATCTACTAGACTTTGCGTCTTCAAACGCTTTCAAAAAAAGACTTGCTCTAGTTGACTTCGTCACCACCTTTTTGTCATCAAAGTACAGGGTTGGCGTATCCTGAGGCCAAGATGAAAGCAATCGCGATTTCGCCAATAACGCGCTTCACGATTACGTGCTGTTACGGGCGTGTTAAACTTTCCTTGTACCAGCAATAACAGGGTTTCATAAGCCTCGGAAACCACTTAATGGGTGAAAATATTTTCCTTTCCCTTGTTTTGCCGAAACTACTACACGCTAATATAGATCAAATCATAAGGAGTAAGATAAATTTGACAACCAGCTTGACTATGCAGTAATGTAATTGCAAAAGCCTACATATCGATTTTTCGCAGTATTAGGTTAGATTTTTGGGTATTAGAATTCACACCAAACTAAACAACAGGCGTGGGAAAATTTGTACTATATTGTTGGTATGTATCATTAAGGACACAAAGTCAAGACCAAACAGAAACCACGTTATCTTTTCTTCACATCACTTGATGAATAAGAACTTTCCCGCGAGACTTGCTCTTGCAGAAGTTGTTTCCTAGATTTCCTGCAACATTTTCTGGGATCACTGGACTTTCACTAATTAGTAGCCTTTTCTTAAACGGTAAGATTACCCATCACTACCGTCACATTCAATCAACCGATTTTTATTTCCAAGTCCTTTTACTTTGAAATTATTTTCCTGATTCTTTGGTGAGGTTTGAAGTTTCATTCATCCCATTCGTACCCTTAATTAATTATTATGTTTCTACATTATATCCCTTGTTCCATTGCAGGTTGGTTGCCACCTTGCTCGTCATTATTTATAATTATGATAATAATAATAATAATAATAATAATAATAACAATGATAATAAGAACAATAATAGTAACAATTAAAATTATGGTGTTGATTGAATAATTATAATTATAATGATAATTATAATAAATTATTTATGTCATCATTATTGTTATTGACAAGTATGTTGGTTGTGATTGGGTCTACTTGCCCTCCGACCATCTGTACTGAGTTTTTTTACTGAGTGCGGCATCTTTTTTTATTACAAAGCACGACAAGAGTTATTACAGAGTGCGAAAGCTTTTTCATTACAATGTACGACAAGAGTTATTACAAAGTACGACAGCTTTTTTCTTACAAAGTACGACGTATGTTATTACAAAGTGTGGCAGCTTTTTTTATTACAAGTTGCGACTTTATTTCATTAGAAAGTTGCGAAAAGATGTTATGACAAAGTGCAACAGGTATTACAAAGTGCGACAGCTTTTTATCAAAAAGTTGCGACAATTTTATTACAAAGTGTGACAGGTATTGCAAAATGCGACAGGTACTATAAAGTGCTACGTATATTTCAAAGTACGACAGAACAACTGACCACCTTCACCACACACTGTTTCAATTAGTCGAGTTCAGCAAAGTCAACCGTTCGAAACAAGTCAATTTCATAAAAGCAAAGAAAGTATTGGAAATATAACGCCCTAGATCATGTATCTTGCAAACATTTTAAAAGGCAATTAAGGCCAGTTACCGAAACGATAAGTTTCACATACTCGTTGTAAAGTGCCATGTGATGCGTCGGAAAAGGAGTTGGAAGGGTAGGTGGGTGAGTTGATGGCACTGTTAAGACAACAACAACAACAACAAATCAAATTAAACTGGCTCCAGCTTCCTTTAATCGAAATGCCTTTAACGCTTATGGCTCGGAATAAGTATCATGATGTCTGACAAGATCATTTCTGAAACAAATATCTTTTATTGGTTTGCAGCAAAAAAGGTCTCTTTTTAACATTATTTTATTTAAATTTTCATTACTTTCGATTTATGAAATGATAATGTTAAGAAAGTGCTTGTGAATGAAATAAAAAGCAAACAATACAAGGAAACATTGCAGACTTTTGATAAGCTAGCAGCTCAAATTCCTCGCTCAATACCACAACTTTTAAAATTTGCCTTAAAACGTTTAAAAACAAGGATTGTGAGAGTACCCTCTTTAAAAGCTGAAAAAGAACCAAGTGGTCGGGAAAACAGACAAAAACGCCTGCAAAACACCGGTTTTGATGCCAGCGGCCGCATTGATACTATTGGGTTTATCGTTGCGAAGGAATGCGCCGGCGGGTCCAGTTATGTTTCCCACGCCGTTGCACTGGTCATTCCCGGTAGCCCCAGGGTTCCGATTATCAGCGCAGAAAGGATTTTGGCCAGCAAAAGTCAAGTTAAACAATTCCAGCGCTTCAGGGGGGAAGGTACACTCAGTAAGCATCACATTCTTCAGACACTTCTTCATCTTAGTTTGCTCCCTGTAAAAATGAAGGTCATCAAAAGTTTAGTAGTCTCTCTCTTTTCTTTTCTTTTCTTTTTTTTTTTGTCTTATTGAACAATATGCAGTCTCGGAAATTTTCTGAGACTACATGTTGATATCCTCCCCTCTGTGAACGTCGCTCTCTTAATCATTTAGCTATTCTCGACCAATTGCAACAGTTTCCTTGGTTCTTAAAATTTTCCTTTTGCTTTCGTACCAGCAATGATTATCAAATACGATATTTTGTTTGTTTTTGTTATACTCGAGCAAAAACAAAAGCAATCGTATCTGTCTTTTTTTACCTTCAAACCTTTTTCAGTTTGAAAAAGGTTTTGAAGGGGAAAAAAGACATTACAATCTGAGATTGTTATCAGTTTTTTGCATAGCTTTATTTTGGAAGAAGTAGTGAACTGCATTGTCTGAACGATAGATAGATAAAGTTAAACCTCCTTAGCTTTTAAGCGCACCATTATAGAATCAAATGACAAGAATGTCTCAATTCATCTCCTGAACAATCCTTTCTTCATTCTCTTCCTTTATTCGAAAAAAAGTAATCGCTTGGCCCCGAATTTAATGTAATTTATACCTATAGGTTTTCTTGTTAATTATTAGCCTGGTAGCTGGTATATGGTCCAATAAGTGCCCATTTTCTTGGCAGCTCAGAAATGAAAACATTTGCGGTTTACATTCACAACGGAAATTATTGAAATTTTTCACCTCACGCTCGTAACAAGAATTTAATTTGTTTCTTGTTCCACAACCATGCCACAAATTAATTATCTTTTTCAATTTCTGTTTGCATAAGAAATAGTTAACATAAACTCACGTGCAAAGAGAGGAATTCGATATGTTCGCGGCGAATATGCCTCGAAAGGTTCCCATGCAGACTCTCATTTTAGTTGTGACTGAGCTGGAACAATTCAAATATCTTAAATACTTTGTACTTGTTTGCATGAGACCTTCAGCACATCCTCTTTTCCGGGTTGAATTACTTTCCATGCTGCTGTTTGGCAGGATGTCAAAACAGTGCTTGTCCAATTTCAGCATACATTCATTTGCTTGGTCAAGCTTAGAACTGGAATGAAACAAGAAACCCATGAAGTTAGAGCACTTTTTAAGTGAGGGTCTAAGGTGATCCGTGTATGAGTTTAGTTTAGTTTGATTCGTTCTTAATCTCATTAGCAGCCGATGTTTGTAAACTCTCCTGGTATACCGTTGCCCATTGCAACTGGAGCACTCGCGTTTTCCCGCTTTCTGATTGGCTGTTTCTGGTTGGCTGTCACTGATTGGCTATTTCTGTACCATCCTTTTGTTTGGTCAGCTGCTGCCACAACTTTGGGGTAAAGTTATGTGACTTACCCTCCCCTTCCCTCCTCCCCCCCCTCAGCACCCACTCACGAAGCCTTCGAGAGCCCTCCAGACGAGGTCACTTGACAAATAAAGTATTGCGTTTCAGTTGCAGTCGCCTTCAAAACACCTCAAAGTTTAGAGCTATTTAAATGAACTTACGAGCAGTTTCCTGTGGGGTCCTTTCGCAGTCCTCTATAGAGGGAGGAGGTGCAATTGCGATAAGCGCAATAGAATTCTATGCCAGAACAGTTACCAACGTTTGGGAGTGCTGCTGCGTGTTTTCCAACGAGAAACGCTAAAGAAACGATGAATGGAATCAATAACTCAGTTACCTAATTAGACGTAGTTTTTATGAAAATAAAGTAAGTATTGGAAATAAAACAGAGTATTTAACACGCAAACCTTGTAAAGGCTAGGGTAGGGGGAACCCCTTCCCCCCCCCCTTCCCCCACTACCAAAAAAATTAAACGAAGAAGCAAAGAAGAAAGCCCAGCCCCCTCCCACTCACACGGTTACCCTTCTCGCCAGTTTGTTTCGTCAGGGTCGTTGCGAATATTCTTCTGGAAAACAGCTGACCTTTTATACATCGTCAAAAATCGATTACGGACATATTCAAAGATGTTAATGTTAATTATTTTGAGAAGTTTGAATAGAAGAACGCATTTGGCTGGGTCTACAATAGCACCTCCACCATCTTTTTCCTTTCCTCCGTCAAGTTCCAAAACGCTTTAACACCTCTGGGAAGAAATTCCAATTCTCAAGATACGTTTTTACCGAGCATATGGTTAGGGTTCAATATATTGGCCAAGACACTGAGACAATGTGCTCTTATCATGCAGAAAAGAAAAGCATCCTCGTAACAATGAAAGAACCAGGATAAAGATAAAAGTTCACTTTAAGTGTCTTATTTCAAGACTGAAAATACTATTCAAATTAAACCCTTCAAACAAACTTTCCACGATTATTGCATGAATGAAATTTTTTCTTCTTTTGAGATCCGTTACAGTACAATTTACTATGCGTCACTAGCAGTACATACTGGTACAGGAAGCGTGACAAAAAACAAACCTACAGTATTTCAATTTGCCACCAGTTAAGTCGTTCAGCAGAGCACCGATTTACCTTCAGTAGGAAGATGTACGGTTTGAAACCTCTTCGAAGAATATTGAAGAATTTGGAACTTTCTCAGCTATACAGAACAACATGAAAATTGTCATCGTTCTCTCTTTCTGGGGTTAATATTTAAAGGCATCACCTCCCCTCCGCGCAATACAGTGGACGCCGCTTTATCTGCATAACAGCTAAATATTACAGCATCCTTTCTTCAAACAGTACGTAGCAGAAGTTAAAAAAGAAAATAATAAGGCGAAGCTTCCGAAACGAAATGAAAAGAAATCGCCTCCAGTGGGTATTTTATAACTGATTATTTCACTTTGGGTAGTGAAAGAAGAACTTACCGACGACCACGACGAAAAACATATTGAAACGCTCAGAGACCTGCATCTTCGCTGCTCCTTCAAAAATAAATTGTTCCAGCGTAACTTAGATCCTTTTATTTAAACCCTTTTTTTTTTTTCTTTCTTTTTTTTTTTTTTCATTTTCGCCCTTTATCTTGGTGGCGCCGGCTAAGCTGGGGATCGCTTTCGTTAAATCCTTTTTTGGTCACGTACAAATGTGTCAAGGTCACTCAAACGTATTTTTTTTTTTGTTATTTTCAGTATATTTTTAATGCTATTAACTTGCTTTTATATTTGTGGCAAATTGATTTTGTTATTTTGCTAAGTTTCTAGCTTTCCTTCAACATCTTCTTTGTTTTGTATAGTTGTAGTGTTCCCAAGTATTCTTCTCCTACCCAAATCTCCAATTTCCAGGTAAATCCTGTTGTCGAGCATGAGCAGTTTTTTACGCCTTTCCCCTTTTTTAGCTAGAACAATTTCTATAATTTCTCTTAATCTCTTATAAATTGGCCACCTTTTGCTTAGTTATTCTTTTGATTTAGCTGGTTTGCTAAGCAACAGTATTACAACTTGCCGAGCTTCTGCTTGTCTATTCTTGACCAGCTCTAAAATTATTTATTTATTTTCTTGCACTTTTTATCTAAATTTAGTTCACTTTTCTTCACCACACAATTTATTGTTGTGTTAGCTCTGTCATGCAATTTTCTGTTTAGGTTTAAATTGCTTGGTTAATGGATTCACATTTTATTTTGTACAGTGTTTCGTATATTTAATGTTGTAAATCATGTCACTTCCTTCCCGTCTATTATTTGCATTTATTCTAGACCTACTGTAGTTTTTCTTATTTTCTTTGTATTTTTTAACTGTTGTTCATTCCACTTTTTTTTTTTCTTGTTTGTTTGTTCCCAAAAAATCGCAAATCTTGAGCTCAAATCTGTTTGTTCCTATGTCAGCTGTTTGGCCGTCAAACTCATAGTGGTGCGTTTGGGAGGTTCGCATAAACATATTTCTCCTTACAGTACGAAATGATATGGGTTTGGGGGCACCAGCACACTGAAAAATATTGCACGTCATTGTCACTGAAGTATTTTCATAAATAGCTGCCAATATTTGCTCGTGTATATTTACCATGAAAAAAAAGGGCATGAAACAACCCATTCCCCAAACCGATATTGTCACCACGAATGCTATTTTTAACTAAAAAAAAACAACAAACAAAACCAAAAAATAGCAATAAATACGCTTTTGGAAAGGCAAATTATAGGAAAACTAGAATGAAGCAGGATTAAAATCTAAAATATGGCAGAAACGATTCAAATCAAACGCAAGAAATTAGAAACAGTTTATAATCTCTTTTTCAACTCTGATAACTAATTCCATGTGTTTTTGATATTGTTTTTCTTGTGTCCTCTGAAATGTAAACGTCATGAGGAAAATCTTAGACCAAAAATCCACTGTAGTTTGAAAGCAGACACTTCTAAGCGAGCCAAAGTTTTATTTTTCTCTTACAAGTTCATTCATTTTCATAAAGGCATCAAGATATATTTATGAGTAATGTGAAATGTTTCTTCTGCATTTTTATGATGAAAGAATGATCTAAGCCAGCGTGTTTGTAAAACTAGTCTGGTAGATCAGACAATTTGTTATCATTATCTTTCACAGCAGAAGTGTGTGACGTCAGTGCACACTAGACTTCCATATCAATTTTAAACTTTTGAGGTGAACACAAAATATATTTTCGACAGACTCAGTCATTAGGGATATTTGATCTGTAATCCGTTGTTCCTCTTGTGATTAGTCAATACATCATGTCCATGGGTGCCGCGATTTAGCACCCTTTTGTTATTTAGATCGCATGGAATTATTAGCAGCATATCGTTAACTAACGGTATGTTTTGCTTGGCTAGGATCTTTTGAGTCAGTTATTTAGTCGATGTTTTTATCAATTGTTCGATTTCTTTGTTGGT